GATGACGGCGGCTCGGGCGCCGTCGGAGGAGATGACGCCGTCTCGTACGGGCTTGTAGTACTTGGTGCGGCGGTGGACGGTTTTGAGGGCCGGGTTGGGAGGGGCATTCTGGGACTTTTTGAGGGGAGGAGGGTATTTGGGAATTGGGATTGGTGGGGAAGGAGAAGCAGAGGTGGTGCTGGAATTTGGGTCGTTTGGGGGTGGGTTTGAAGGGAGCGAAGAGAAGAGGTTGAAGCCTGGTAGTGATGCAACTATGGCCATGGAATTTCAAAACCCAACAAGCCAAATCCTCTTCTTTTACCTCTTCATGTAGGCATGCCAGGCAAAATGGAGAAGAAGATAGGATAAGCTTTCATGGAGTTTTCTGGTTTTTCTGTTGCTTTTGCCTCCACTGAAAAGAGACGGATGACATTTTGAGTGGGGGAATTTTCATTTCTCGCACGACATCTATTTTTGCGTCGTTTTATTTTTATGAACTTCCGCGACCACATCAACCCTCATGTACCCGCACAGCAGCGAATAATGAGCGTACGCTTCTTCCCCAAACCCTAGACTCTAACCAGTATATAAGCATAAAGCCTCCATTTTGCCAAGTCCCATTCATATGCCCTGCGCCTCCTTCTCCTTCTCTGCGATTCTGAGGCCGCAAACATGCAGATCTTCGTGAAAACCCTAACGGGTAAGACCATTACCCTAGAGGTCGAGTCCTCTGACACCATTGACAATGTGAAGGCCAAGATCCAAGACAAGGAGGGCATTCCCCCAGACCAGCAGCGCCTCATCTTCGCCGGAAAGCAGCTCGAGGACGGCCGAACCCTAGCAGATTACAACATCCAGAAGGAATCGACCCTCCACCTTGTGCTTCGCCTCCGTGGTGGCGCCAAGAAGCGTAAGAAGAAGACCTACACCAAGCCAAAGAAGATCAAGCACAAGAAGAAGAAGGTCAAGCTTGCGGTGCTCCAGTTCTACAAAGTTGATGATTCTGGGAAGGTCGACAGGCACTACTGCGGCAAGTGTGGGTTGACCTATGTTTACCAGAAGGCTGGCGGTGATTAGAGATTTAGAGTTTTAAATTTCAAATATATCATTTTGGATTTTAATTTTGCTGCTTTTTTTTTTTTATGATTGTATTTTCGGTTTCAATTACATGCTTGAAAAACCTCTGAAACTTTAGGTATTGTCGTTGTTTCAATTGCATATGCCCGATGGAATGATTATCCTAATTTTGTTATGATTCGTGTTCTACTGTTCGTTGGTTGATTGATAATTGTGAAATGATGCTGGGTTTTGTTTTGAGAAAGTTTAAGTCACACAGGTTTTGGTGATGGAATGGACTTGAGTTGGATTTAATTTGCAGTGGGTTTGGTTTCATTTGCTTGTCAGGGTTGATATCAAAGAATTTTGCTGGTCTTGTGTTATTGATTTTGGTTTAGTTTTCTGAGAGAGATCTTCTAATACATATATAAGAAGATTGCCATGACTGAGTGTGACCAAACGCAGAGCATGTAGTTGTAGTGTAGTTTTTACATGTTTTACGTTGAGGCAGAGGACCATCGTCGCACATATAGCTCCCTGTTATCTAAATGCTTGATATGTTGCTGATGATTAGAATGTATTTGGGCTTCTTAAGAAGGGGAATTGGTCAAAGACATGAAGATTGTCAGTCATGATATATCGAATCTTGAGTTTGTAGGGGATGGGTTAATAATCCCTTTGACTATCTGGGCTCAACCCAAAACTTGAGTCGGGCAATAAAATTTCCAAATAGAACATGACATGATAAATTGCTGCCCCAGTTGATACCATGTTGTGGGATCATAAATTGGTAATGTGGTACCAAGTTGAGATCATTCTACATAATTTTAGGATTGTCATCTTAGTTGTAATCAACAATGGTGTTTCAACTGAACATAGAATTACACCGCATTGGTTATCTTATCAAAAATGACAACGAGATACAATCCTCGTGTTGTAGTCCATTTAGTTGTAATCATCCGTGCCCAAAAGAACAAGAATGGAAAGGAACTAAAAAAAATTACAAAGCTCCGTTGAAAGTGGTAATGATTTTGTACCAACAATCTGCAAGGCTACTTTCATTTCACTGATTTCACCCACTAAATTCGCGAGATGTGATAAGGTTCAGAAAGAGTTGAGATTCCACGCACTAGGTTAAGTCTCATGTTGGGATAGAGTAGGTTAAGTCTCATGTTGGGATAGAGTAAGGTTTTGTTTGGGAGTGTTTCTGAAATGGTTAAAAGCACTTTTGACAGTGTTTCTGGAATGGTTTATAGCTCTTTTGACAACATTTGGCAGAAAAATTTAGAAGTACTTTATGGAGAAGTACTCCCAAGTGCTTTTCCGGCACTTGGATTGCTAATGAAAACTTCAATGTTTTTATAATAAAGCGCTTTTGCTAGAAGCTCTTATGAGCATAAGTATTTCTTTGAGTAACGGTACCAAATGAGCCGAAATTGGTTTCTGTGGCCCAACACTTTACGGGAGACCTTTTGGATTGGAGTGATGCCCAAATTTGTTGAGCCTGGCTAAGAGATCCAACGAAAGAAACTCGGACAAAGGTTTCAAAAGGGCCCTCCAATCTTATCAAACTGGCCCATAATCCGAACGGGCCCATAGACTGAACTGGGCCTGACAACATTAATCTCAACAGTTGTGCAGAACAAACCGGATAAAGAATGATAGCAGGAGCAGCCCATGCATTCAAGTGTTTTTTACTACGTAGACGCTTTAGCAATTCTGTCCTCAATCACCAATCTTAAATGCCCTCCTCATCTAGCCAGTGCCATGAGAGGATCACTCTCCAGCAGTCCAGATTTGTGCTGCTGACGTGGGAAGAACTGATTGGTTACATGTCCAAAATTATTTTGGTCTGTCTGTCTGAGTCAGAGTTACTCTAGTTGAAGTTGAATTTAATGACTGGCACTCATTTTTGCGCGACAGCAAATGTTTTCAAACAATGCAATGCAATGCATTTGAGTTTTCAATTTTCAGTCACTGTGGGGAAAGTGGGGACCTTAGAGCTTCAATTCAACTCTCACTTACAAATCACATGGGGAAGGGGGAAGCTTGATCAATGTGAATGAGTTAAAACGGTAACTGGGGCAGTAGAAGTGGTCATTATGAGAAACAGCAGAAAAATATAAGCAATGGGAAAGTTACCAAAAATGCATAGCACAAAAAGCAGAGAGAGAGAGCTTCTCATGTCAAAAACACTTCCTCTCTTTCAGGAAACAGACAAACTCTAAGATGCCACTTTTCCTTCTCCATGCATTCTTCTAGAACACATCCACCTTTTTTCATTTGGTAAAATTTGCTGCACTTTCACTTTCATTTTCATGTGAGAGAGAGAGAGAGAGAGAGAGAGTCAATTATGAAGAGAAAACAACACATGAAAAACGAAGGAGCTCTCTTCCTTTCCTAGTCATTTTACATCAACAATTGTTACCAGTTCTGCATTTAGGGTCAGGGGTGTGACTGTAATTTTGCCAAGGAGTGATTAAGTAACCCCAGACTTGAAACATTCTGAAATGCTTCAACATTTATTTACTCATGTGAAACCTAGCACACGTCTTTTTCCTTTAAACAACAAGGATAAAATCATTAAAGTACTCTACTTGACCGTAACTAAATAATCATCAAAGAGAGTTAGTGATTATTAATTCTCAATGATTTGTCTCCTTCAACTTCTATAAATCCTCTCCCTTCTATAACCAAACACTTCCCTGTGCTCTGCTCTGCTCTCTCTCTCTCTCTCTCTCTCTCTCTCTCTCTCTCTCTCTCTCTCTGAAACACATACAAACACAAGCTCAAACGTAACAAACATGTCTGCAGTGAACCATCTCTTCGATCTCCCCGATCAGATTTGCTATGTCCAATGTGGTTTCTGCGCCACCATATTACTGGTTGCTCAACATTTGCTCTAACTCTTTACTAATACATTGACAAAGAGTCATATAGCATGACTGCATTAATTCTTGGGTTTTGATCTGTTTCTTACTTTCTTTTTTCATTTTTGGCCAAGTTTGACCGATTGTTTCTGTGTAAAAATGTAGGTAAGTGTCCCATGCAGCAGCTTGTCAATGTTGGCCGTCACGGTCAGATGTGGTCACTGCAGTTGCCTCCTATCTGTCAACATGATGAAGGCCTCCTTTGTTCCCCTCCATCTGTTAGCTTCCCTTACCCAAGATGAGGTAACTGTTTCATACAACAATCTCATCAAATCTTGAATATCAAGTCCTAGTCACTTTTAAGTGATCATAATCGATATTACAGTACTGTTCTCTGAGTATTTATCATATCCTAATAATTAATCTTAATCTCTTGCAGCAAAGAGAAGAACTCTGCTTAGAAGAAGTGGACAAACAGAACAACAAACCCTTGGACATGCGCAGCCCATCCATGGTGGTTTCCAATTCTGACAATGAAGAGGAGGACACAATCTCTATGAATCCCATTGTTAACAAGCGTACGTACGTTCATAAGTCATATAAAATCTGGTGCAACTAAACTGGCTGGATTGTATTAACTTCTTTTAGTTTCTTGTTATTAAATTTATGCAGCACCAGAGAAGAGACAACGAGCTCCGTCGGCCTACAACCATTTTATCAAGTAAGATTTGCAACTTATAATAAGTTAGAAGATGTGAATGTGATGCATTTGGGAGTTCTAATTATGTGACTCTTTCATGTGTAAATCAGAGAAGAGATCAGGAGGCTTAAAGCTGAGAATCCAAGCATGACTCACAAGGAAGCTTTCAGCACAGCTGCAAAAAATGTAAAGCTTTAGTTAGAGCCAAGATCAGTAATAATGAAGTTAAATCTTTTCATTAAGTGACTGTTCAATAGTGAATATGCATGTTTGATTGCATGTAGTGGGCCCAGTTCCCTCCAATTCAGTACAAAGGAGATGGTCCAGATGGAGAGAGCTGCACTAGCCAGAGAGAGGAAAATGTGACATGGGATTCTGATGTTCCTGAGGTAAATATTTAGTTATTCACCATCACCATGCATATATATGATTGAAATGATTAGTGGAGGACATTGATCATGATGACCAGAATAGATATCCAACTGGAGACCATGGCCTACAAAACCCAATTAAACATCATATTAATTTGATAAATTAATGTAGCTCATGATCAGAATTAGCCATGACACATCACATACCACACCACACCAGAATATTGAATATCCGAAAGGTTGTCACTTTCTTTGTGGTTCAACTAGTAAATGCCAAATTTATTATTTGAAAGCAGTGTCAAAAGACTCAAGGCTCCTTTTGATCCCTAGCTTGCTAGATATTATGTGTTCGTAATTATTTAAAAATTTATGCCACTCATGTATGTATGCATGACTTTCTGTTGTGAAATTTTTTACAGGCCCATGAAGATGGCAAAGTTTTCCGCGAGAGAAAGGCCCCAAGGCATTCCATATGGGCAAGGACACCCTTCGAGTGAATGAGGCTTGACCTAAACTTCTATAACAAGAAAGCTGTTTCTCTCTCAGGCCGACGATTTGGGTTCAAGTCACTTGCTATTTTAGGGTTAGATTCTCTAGGGAATGTGGTTTTCGTTTCAGATTGAACAAGTCTTCACTGACAGAAAGAAGTAGTCTAGCTTTCAAATGAGCTTACTGATTGTGATGGAATATTGATCCATTTAGTTCAAAGCAGACAATTTTCTAGTTCTACTCTGTTTCCAAGTAAATCAAATTTCTTTATGGTTATGGACTGCATGCAATTCCATGGTTGTTGTTGTGACAGACAGCTAGATTTCCTCAACAAGATGTGCATGAAAATTGGTTACCTGCTAGCTGAACTCTTATAAACAGACATTAATTAATGAGACATTTCAGATTCAGGATGTGCTTCAATAATTATTTCTCATGGTTTTGCTTAAGTTTAATTTTCCAATGTGTTTTGCAGCAAATACTCATGAATCATATGACTGGTAGATAATAAACTTCAATCATGTTCTTGAGACACAAGTGAATGGGAGCATTTTTTATTACCACTTTAATCCAAGGTGTATCATCACTACCCTTCTCAACACTTGACACGTGTCCATGGACATAACCATGGTTCCACAAATACAAAGTAAAGATTTAACTATTATTATGTCCATAAACACGTGTCAAGTGTTGAGAAGAAGAGTGTTGATGATACACCTTGGGTTTGGTCAGCAAAAATATCAAAAATATTTCATACCTGAGTGGGATTTTATCCACTTTAACCATGGAACCTTATTTTAGCAGCTGTAATTACAATCTAGGATATTCAAAATAATGTCTAGTTTTTGAGTTCTAATTAAGTAGCTTTAACATATATATGTATGTTTCAATTGACTTCAGTAGTGTTTCCTTCTTGCAAATCTTGGCCCCCTTTGAATATAACTACCTGAAAAAAAAAACAAAACAAAATACAGCAACATATATATATGTATGAAATCTTGGACATTGAATGGATACATAGTTATGATACTGCTATGGTTGTGGTTAGATATACCTATATTTAATTTTGTGGGATTAATTTATGAGGGTATTGAATGCAACTTCTGAAAGAAAAAAAATAAGAAAAGTATAGATGAGCTGGGATCTTACCCATTAAAGGCCTGGGAGAGATAGAGTGGAAATAAGCTTGAAAGAAGTGCCTATTCTCCTTTTGTAGCTCTCTCCACACTGCAATTCAAACATACATGTGCGTGTAAACCAACCAACTAACTAATAAATAGTGAATCCATACATATATACATATAATGTTGGAGAGAGAGAGAGAGAGAGAGAGAGAGAGAGAGAGAGAGAGAGAGAGAGAGAGAGAGAGAGACTGACCTGTAAGTGTGACAATTGGCCTAATGCTTGCATGCTCTGCTAGCGCCTTTATGCACTGGTCACGACTCATGTGAAGTAACAAGCATCTCTCTATAAGATGTTGAACCTGTTTTTACATGTATCAGTATTTCCATGCAAAAGTAAGACCATGCATAAGTCCAATGAGAGAGAGAGAGAGAGAGAGTACACCATTCTTATGTAGCTGTGAGGGTTGCAAAGCAAACATGGACCGAGGTGATGGTTGTGATACATTTTCTCCTGAGTCTTGAGTACGGTTTAGACAAAACCAAAAGGCATGAATGACTGAAAAGAAGGATATAATAGAATAGAGAAGAGAGGGAGGGAGAGAGAGGTAGCAAGAAAACAAAGAAAGCCCAAAAAGTGCAAGGATCATGGGAAAGATATTTGGAGGACCATATACAAAAAAGAAGAGCCAGGATACTAAAATGGCACATTGCTATGTTATCCACAGAAATCCAAGCGAGGGGCCAAAAGAGCACAAGAAATCCAAACGATAGATTCACACCTCATCTCCAAAGAGATAACAAAACAATTGCGTTTATGATGATGGCAAGTGCGCGTGGCCAGGCCTCTAGCCACTTGATCAGGACTTGAAATCCTCCACCCTTGGCTACGCTAGGCCCTATCAAACCCATTTGCTACCTGCTTTTCTGTTTCCGGGTCCTACATTCTTTACTGTATATGCCCATTTCCATGACTTAGAGCACTTCCACCCATTTTTCATGATAAAAGATAGGGAGTTTCACTAAAACACCCAAAATGGAGGTTGAAATTATAAAAAAACCCAACACCCAAAACACTTTATAAACACACCCAAAACCCATCATTACACACACTCAAAACCCATTTATAAACACACCCAAAAAGTTGACTTTGGGGTTGATTTTGGGTGTGTTTCTATGTTTAAATAGTGCTTGGGTTTTTTTATAAATACATGTCTAG